CGCTGTGCAGTCGTAGACCATGCCTGGTCCTGGTACTCCGTCGTGCACCTTGAACGCTGTCGCTTCAGCGTAGGAGACAAACGTTGGCCAGGCCTGTCTCGACTTTCCCACCTGGTTGCAGGGAAACTGCGTTGGATGGTCAGGCTGCTCCACCGACGCTGGCATCCTTCCCGGTTCCAATGTGTCCTCCACCAAGAGCGGCACTGGACGCTCCATCAATGACAGGCGATACTGCAGCACCGCGTTGCTCACCCCATTTGTCCAATAGCGGCGGACCCTATGCGTCCTGCTTCCCGCTTGCGCCCTGTCTGCTACCACGCCCGGTCCCAGCTCCGCCATAACTTCCTCGTGTGCTACTTGCACCTGTTCTCTAACATCCCCCTCCATGTCCACATTCTCCACGATGTACACGACATCTCCCTATACCCGCTTGATCGTCTTGAGCACCCGCACCAACTCCTGAAACAGGATGCTCCTCCCATCGCTCATGCCCCTTCCTGCTCCCGCCCGCGAAAAGCCTTGACACTCCCATCCGGCAATCACCACATCTATCCTCCCCCATCCCGTATCTACTCTTCGTCCACTTGGCGTATGTCACAGGCTCCACACTGCGCGCTTTGCTCTGCCGTGAGTGAGTAGAATTGATGCGGATACCTCTTCTGCAGCCCTTCAGCATGGTTCCATGCCATCTTGACCGCCTGCGCATCGCTTTCCACCAAAATCCACTTCTCCACGTATGCTCCCACCTTCAGCACCGCCGCCAGCCCGGTTCTGATGCCTCCGAATAGTTTCAGGACGATGGTTGGCCCTAGGAGTCGCTTCGTGTTCATGCAAAGTGCCTTGAGGTCCGCTTCCTCCTCACCCCGCCCCGTGGGTGCCACTGGCATTCTCGCCACCTGTTGCCAGGTCGGGATTCCTAACTCTTCTCGAAGCTCCGCCTCTGAGAACTGGTAGGCCTCCCTTGGTTCTCGCCGTACAAACCGGACCGGAAGCGTGCTGATGGGACCGTAATCCTCCCATTAGCATACCCGGTATTGAACCTTCTCTTCCCACATGCATATCGTCGCTCCTATGCCAAACAGGTACTCCACTCCTATCAGCAGGTCGAATTCTTCAGACTCCGACACTCCGTAGAACACCCTCAACGTGCACTCCTCTTGGGTCCCGGGATTTAGCATCAGCGCCATCGACTGCCGGGTCTTGGGCATCCACTTCGCTTCCCCTCCGTCCGCATCAGCAAGTAGCCCTCTGCTACCAGGCGCCCTGGCTAGTACAGCTGCAGTTTTTCCGCCAGTCGCCTTCCGATGAGCACGTGCGTGGCCCCTGTACCCACGATTGCTCGCTGCGCGGTTAATCCCCCGATCGTAATTGCTCCCGCTGCTATCGTCAGGACCGTGGCCTGACAGGCCATCCTCTCCCGCAGGTGTCGGTAAGCCGCCCCTTCCCTCTCCACTCGCTGGCCCGCCTTCTCGGCCCGTCTTCTCGCCGCTCATCCTCCGAAAACAGTTGCCTGCGCACGTCCCGTCTTAATCCCAGCTCTTCTCGATCCCGCGCCGGCTGGGCCATGAGCATGAACTCCGGTTCCTCTGGCTCTTCTTCCTCCTGCGCCACCATTGCGGGTTGTTTTTGCTCCGCCGCCTCCAACTCTGCCAACTGGGCACGCAGCCGGGCCATGGTGGCTTGCCAATCTTCTCCTCCTTCCGCCTTCGTCGCTCCTTGCGGCTTGCGTAACAATCCACCTCTCAATGTCCTCTTCGTCCGCAGCGAGTACATAGCGGCGCCCCAAGACACTCCCTTCGCAAATGTCCTGGCAGGCCGCAGTTGTGGCAGCGCCGCGGCTCTTCTCTCCCTTTCTCGTCCACCTCTGGATACGCCGAGGTAGCGGCCCAGGTGGGCCGCCTCCTCTCTGGTCCTCGATTTACCGTCCGTTCCACTTCGTACAACCGCCGGCTAGTTTCCACCCGCTTGACAATTTCATAGGCCTCCTTCAGCGTAGCTTTCCGCCCCAGATCGAACACCCGCACCTGTACGTCTTGCTGCAGGGGCTGGCCCAGCCCATTCACGAATTTTCCAATCAGCCTCCCCTGGTCCGCGCAGTTTATATCTTCCCCTAACTCCACGAACTTGCCGTAGTAGGCCAACAGGAATCCGCCTTCCCTTCACCTGAAGCCACGGGACTCCACCACCCGCTCCGCCGTCTGCAAAGGTAATAGCTCACACAGCATCGCTAAGAAACGCGCTGTCGGATCCCGCTCGCCCGGCGCTCGCCCTGCCGCCCACTCCAGCAGTTCCTTTCGTGAAATGTGGTAATAGGTCTCCGCCTCTCCCGCCAACGTGTTTGCCAGCCCGCGGAAAAACTCCTCTGGATCTAGCCGGTCCTTCGCCCACCGCGCCTGCAAGGTATCCAGCTGCATGATGTAGTTCTTCAGATTCGGCCCCCTTTGCACATCTCCCGAAAATCTCTCAGGCACATCTATCTTCGGCAGCTGGGTATACCGCCAGCGTTGGACCAGCGACTCATCCTCCGTGCCCTGCCAGGAGGCGGTACGCTGGTATTCGCTGGGTCCCCCTTGCTGCAAGCACGGTGGCGGCTCAGCCCGCTGGCGCTCCTCCGATTCGCCGGGTGCGGTATTTCCACCACCCGTGACTCCCGTGCGAACGCCGCCCTGCGGCCCGGTCGCCCGAGCGCAATTTCCACGCGAAGCTCACTGCCATGCTCAAGACACCCGACTGGCGGGACAACTACCCCAACCTGGTGCTTTTGTGGGTGGCAGTAGCTGTACTGCCGCTGAGCACCGTGGAGTGCGAGCGGGGGTTCTCCCGCCAGAACGTCATCAAGTCGTGGAAGAGGGGCGCGCTTAAGGATGCACGCCTTGGAGACCTCATGTGCATGAGTCTCATGGATTACGAGCCCAAGTGGGATGAGATCGTAACCGTCTGGAGGAGCTACAAGAAGCGCAAGCCCCACAGCAACGCTCCACTCCCGCCTGCAAGAAAGCAACAGAGCAAGGGCAGGGAGGCAGATGAAGTGATGGAAGTAGTTAACCTAGAAGATGAGAATGATGCAGTTGACGGTGATGATGATGGTGGATTTTATGAGTAGGATTAGTAGGATGTTAATAGAGCTAGGATATATCAACAGGGTAGTTCTAATCTAACTGTCCAGGCTAAGCAAGCAGTAGTAGTATGTATGTAGGCCTGTCTAATGTTCGTAGTTCAAACAAGAAGACCAACAGCAACACACCTAAAACCACAATCAGACTTCTCACCGGATGTTGATTCTGAATGTTCATACTTTTTTTTCCTAGACTCTGAACTATCAGCCTTTTTCTTATACCAACTCTGAGAGATTAAGACTAAAACTGTAAGTGAATATGGCGAATCAGATAGGACAAAACCGAATAAAAGGGCATGAGTGAGGCCCTCAAAATTCAAACAAAGTGAAAATGGGTGTTGACTCGCTGGAAATTTGGACTTCGTTACCGTTTTAATCAGGATTGAAAAGTAAATTTATGCATGCGCTTATAATAAAACAAGGTTTTACAGGGGCGGAGCTCATAATTCAGTTCCGGCCATAAGCGCCATGCTCTAGATAGAAGCACCGGCGCCTTTAATAGGACGGCGCTACCAGGGCTGACGCTTCGATTTTAACCCCCCCTGAATCCTTAGGAAAAAAAAAAAAAAAAAAAAATCTGACCGTACTTCGGCCAGAATTTCGCCACCCTGATTGCTCAGTCTCCAGGGTTGAGGCACTCTGTTTGTTCAGGGTTGGCAATCTATAATCAGGGTCCTCTGATTTTGTTTTGCTGCAGAGTGCATGTGGCGCAACCTGGCGCGACCTTGCAGCCAAGTTGGGGAGCTGTTGCGGGGCTGAGCTGGCAGCACGCATTTACTGTAAAGTTTGTGGACTATAGGGAAGCGCCACACATAGAGCTGTGAATACGCCAAGAGCTGACGTTTTTGGTTCTTGAAAACGTGCACACCATCAGTTTAAATCGGCGATTCATGATATACAGTAATCGCAATTCAACGGCCCAGATTCCAACTACTGTTCAGCTGGCAGCGTGCAGGAAATGTTGCTTGGTGCGCGGGGACTTTTCACAGCTGCGAGTTGTTCGGCAGCAGATTTTCTAGGAAAGGTGCAGTGTGTTGTGCTCACGTGCTGGCACTCTGCTGCCACCTCGGAGGTGGGTATATCGGGAAGAAATATCGAGGAAACTTCTTCCCGATATACTCGAATTCAGGACCTGGTGCAGTGTGCTCTCTCACGTGCTGGCACTTTGTTGTCACCTTGGAGGTGGGTATATCGAGAGAAAATTTCTAGGAAACTTCTTCCCGATATACTCAAATTCAGGGCCCACAAAATCGATACTCTGTAGTAACAGGCTCCACAATAACTATATGCTGAAATACATTACATGAAATCAGGGCCCCTAAAACAATAACACTCAAGCACTCAGGGACAAGAAATCAACTAATCTGAAAAATCAGTTTCCAGTGGCTAGACACTCTGATTCATTAGACTAATCAGAGTATTTTGTCTGATAGCGTCAGCCCTGGGCGCTACCATCCGGGTCGATACAACATTTCATTTCCTTTCTACGGCCTGACGTTAACGGGTGCGCGAGCACTTCGTGACAGTTTGGGTTCAGCCTACACTTTCGGCCCGAACCACTTCGGAGTCGCCCCGCACGAATCACGACACTTCCAATTTTTGCACGTCCTGACGAGGTCCTAGCCTAGCACAGTTTCACCCTATAAATGCTCGCTTCTTTAATATTTCTCTTTATGTTAGTTTTTGGAGCACTCATAACAATCACCCAATACAGCTCAACTCATTTACAAATGATGGTATGACCTACAGGCCTGCTCTGCCAATGTTCCTGCTTTAGAGGAGTGGGGTGGTGGTAAGAAGAGTTGAAGAGAAGGATTATTATTATGGATTAAGTTTGATACAAAGTCTTGGTGATGAAGATAAGGGGTATAAGAAGAAGGTAGAAATGGTGGAACAAATAAAGGGTGATAAGGAGAGAAGAGCTGGAGAAGAAGAGAAGGGCCAAAGGAAAGGTGGAAAGAGGAAAATAAGAGAGGAAGAAACTAAAAGAAGGAAACACCTAAGGACCAAAACACCACAGCAACCCGCACCACAGCGCGGGACACAGCCTTTCAAGCACAATCGCTAAACGCCTACACATATGCATCGTACATATACTGCATGTCTGCCACGCTCTCGAAGCAGCCGGTAATGTGATGCCAACTGCCCTGCCCTGCACCCAAAGGGACTGGTGCGGGCATCCACCCATCATCTGACCCTCCCAATTGCCGCACCGCGTGTTGTATAATACTCTAAGCCTGTGCTTGCTGCAGTGCCACGGCCAGTCGTGTAGTGAGTCCGGTCTCGAAAATCCGTGATGACCCGTCATCACACCCCCCCCCCCAAGTCTTTACGCTGCTGTGCAATCCGCCGCGCACAAAGCCCTGGAAACTGCCTCATTGGCTCGCTGAGCAACCCAAACGTCTCCACTACACATGCATAAAAATGTGGCGGCGGTTGTAATCCCTCTAGATGCGGTGCCCAATCCCGCAACTTGTCCTGCACTCGTCTAGCTGCTGCAACACCCATCTGCACTAAGGCCACTCGTCTAAGCCCAGTATTCCCCTATTGCTGTGGATCTGCAATGGAGACGTCTACCAACACCATCAAAGTTTTTTCAATATCGCGGCAAGTCAGGTCTGGAATGTGGGCTGGTGTCCCTGTGCGGCCTGTGCGTCCAGCCTGCCTTTGCTGTTGTACTGGCTGCTGCTGTACGGGCTTCTGCTGTGCCTGGTCCCTCTGTGCCTCCTCCCTTGTCGTTTCGCCCTATCCCCCCCCTCCATACCTTGTCCTTGCTGGCCATCCAGCTGCTGCCCCTGCTGTCCCCTCTCCTCTACCCCACTCGCCAGCCTCTCCTGCGCCTGCTGAACCTCCTGTTGCTGGTTGTGCTGTCCTCTCTCCTCTCCCCCACCAACCTGCCCCTCCTGCCTTTGCTGGCCATGCCGTTGTTGTTGCTTCTGCTGCTGCCGCTGCTGTCCCCTCTCCTCTTCCCTAGTAGCCTGCCCCCACTGACCCTCCTGCTGTTGCCATTGTTGTCCCTCCTGCTGCTGCCCCGGCTGACCCTCTTGCTGCTGCTCTTGCTGTCCTCTCTCCTCTCCCCTACTGGCCTGCCCATCCTGCCCCTGCTGGCCCACCTGCTGTAGTCGCTACTGTTGCTGTCTCTCCTCCTCCTCCCAGCCAGCCTGCCCCTGCTGATCCTCACGCCGCTGCCCTAGCTGATCCTCCTGTTCCTGCCCATGCTGACCCTCCTACTGCCGCCCCTATTGACCCTGCTGACCTTCCTGGTGCTGCCACTGTTGCCCTCTCTTCTCTCCCCTACAAACCTGCTGCTGCTGCCCCTGCTGGCCCTGCTGCTGCGGCTACTGCTGCTGCGGTTGTTGCTGCTGCTACTGCTGCTGCTGCTGCTGCTGCTGCTGCTGCTGCTGCTGCTGCTGCTGCTGTTGCTGCTGCTGCTGCTGCTGCTGCTGCTGCCGCTGCTGCTGCCGCTGCTGCCGCTGCCGCTGCCGCTGCCGCCGCTGCCGCTGCCGCCGCTGCCGCTGCCGCCGCTGCCGCTGCCGCTGCTGCTGCTGCCGCTGCCGCTGCTGCTACTGCTGCTGCTGCTGCTGCTGCTGCTGCTGCTGCTGCTGCTGCTGCTGCTGCTGCTGCTGCTGCTGCTGCTGCTGCTGTTGCTGCTGTCCCCTCTCCTCTCCCCCACTAGCCAGCCCCTCCTACCCCTGCTGGCCCCGCTGCTGCTGTCCATGCTGTCCTCTCTCCTAACCCCTACAGGTCTGCCCCTCCTGCCCCAGCTGGCCTAGTTGCTGCTGCTGTGGCTGCCGCCGCTGCTGCTGCTGCTGCTGCTGCCGCTGCTGCTGCTCTCCCCCCTCCTCTCCCCCACTAGCCAACCCATCCTGCCCCTCACGGCCCTCCTGCTCACCAGCCCCTCGACCGAGCCCACCCTGCTGCTGTTGCTGTCCCCACGGTGCCCCTGACTATCCAAGTACCCCGTCCCCCGTCCCCGAGAGCCCCTGCAGTCGCGCTCTAGCTACCTCCAGGTGCAGGATCAAAGTGGTGTCCACCTTCACCGTGAAGCCTGCCTCGGAAGCAAAGTCCCGAAGCATGTATTTCACGGTGTCATGGATGACTGTGGCGACGCCGAAACGGGAGCACTGCACCACGTGGTGAGGTACCGTCATGTCGTCAATCGCCTGCCCACAAGAACACCGACCTGTGAGGGCTAGTTGGGGGATAGGGAGGCCGAGGCGGAAAGCTGAGGCCACCTGCCACTGCGCCTCTAGGATGCGCAGCGAGTCTGCGTACGGAACCGCAGTCAACCACGCGCCAGCACCTGCGCCCTGAAGGGATGTCAAACAAGCAAGGTGCAAGGGGTTAGTGTGACGGGCCCGGACTGACTCCAAGGCCCGCGCCTCCAAGACGTGGCTCACTCTTGTGAAAAGAGAATCAGGGGCAGCAGAGACACAAGAGTGCCAGGGGGGGAAGAGAGAGAGGATGTCACGTGGGATACCCTCCAGCGCCGTCCGCAGTGATTGATTGATCAGGTCAACATCATCCGATGCGAAGCTCTGTCGGAAGCTCGCGCCGCACACTGGGAGGGAGCAAAGGATCGGCGTACACTGTACCCAAGAGCACACATAACTCACGGGGGCAATACGCTCCATGCGTCGGATGCCAAAACCCCCTAGACGTATGGGGAGGTAGATCTGGTCCAAGGCAGCCTCACGAACGTCCTCTCTGCAAGTCCAAGTCCCAGGCACCAGGAGATGCTGAAAGGTCTCTCCCAACCGCTCATCCCACCGTGCAAAACTGGCACGTACAGCCGGGGTCGGAGGGACCGTACTCGCCAGATACTGCGGTCGTGTGCTGACGCATGCCGAAAGTAGACGGGCCGCTGTCTGGGGCTGGCGTAGTCTTGGAAGCCACGGCAACACGCGCCCCATCCTCTCCAGACACTCAGGTAGACTCCTCTCCACAAAAGCGTCAGAGCCCACCGGCACTCCCATGACGGTGAGTCCTCTGCGAGCGACCTCAATCCCCAGACTCGTGAAGGCCTCCGCCTCCCTAGAAGTCACAAAATCCATGCCGTAGACGAGACACTTGTGTGGCTGGACCGCAAGGCCCAACTCGCGCAAGTGCCTCACAATCTCTGCGAAGTGGTGTAGCACCTTGGAAGGAGGGCCCAGCACGTAAGTGTCATCTGCGTATGACCATAGCTGAACATCGCCCTCAGCTAGAACTGGCTGTAGAGCCATGCGCTGTGTGAGTGCATACAGGAAAGGGCTGAGCGGGTCGCCCTGGCGGGTCCCGTGCTCAGAGTGTATGGTGGTCACCTCTCCGTTCGCTCGGTAAAGGATATCGGAGGGTGTCCCGTAGAAAAGGCTAATGAAAGGAATAAGACAGCGGAACTCAGCACTAGTGTAGAGGGCCTGAAACATGGCGTCTCGATGAAACGAGTTAAAGGCGTTCGCCACGTCCAGCTAAAGAATCACCCAGTCAGGGTGGTTATCCAGGCCGCGACGAACGCCTCTAACCACGACCTCTGTCCTGCAGGTAACGCCCACCCCAAACTGCTGTGACGCAAGGAAAACCCTAGCCATCTGGTCCCGCAGCTGCAAGCATACTGCGCGAGAAAGGATGCGAATCAGAACCTCACCTATCGCGATAGGACGCACATCCACGTTTGGTTTCACGCAGGGTGGACGATGCCAAAAGCGATCGAACTGCCGGAGCGCAGTAGCCTCGCAGCCAAAGCTGGTACACGACGAGTAGGCTAGGGAGGCTCTCAGGAAAGGCAAGGAAGGTATCTCGAAGATGCTCGGCAACCCGGCCTGTCAGTCCTTCGGACGGCCCGCTCGGGGCTGTGAAGATGGCGCGGCGGAGGTGATCTATAGAGAGCACAAGGGCAGTATCCTGAAAAGCCGGTAGCCAATCTGGAGTTGGTCACTCTGCGACGGGATGCTTGCTCCGCAGACGTTGCATCGTACTCTCCGTGTCAGGTGCTGCATCTGCCGACTCCAGGGCCGCGCAGGCCCGCGAGGTGTCATTGCAAGCCGCCAGACGCAGGCAGCGGGCAATGCGGCGGTCATCCGGTGTGGGGGAGAAAGTGGTGGCGTGAGCGTGACGTGCTGCTTGTAAAGGAAGGGGAGTACGTCGCTGTAGGGCCTCAGAGATGAGCTCGTCCCACTCACCTCGTCCAAAGCGGATGATGCGCGTTGCAATGGCGGCCGTGTTTGAACGCTCTGGCGGTGTCGCCGGAGCCAGTAGGAGCGTCGGTGCCGCCTCCAAGAGGAGAGTAGGGCCTGGTGCCTCTGGGTCCTGGGAGACCCGCGCTAAGATGGCGCAGAGGATGTCTAGATACCCACCACGGACCCTCGTGGGGATACGCCGAAGAGGACGGGCATGAATGCTCCGACCACCGAACGGAGTCAAGCGTACGCCACTGTGCATCTGTGAACTGCATCCCCTGGGCTCGGGGCTCTGCTAGGGAAGGTAGAGCTGAGGCCCTGCCGCGGAGGGCCTGCGCCCTGCGAGCTGCGTCGGCAGGGTGGCAGAATGGCATGTGATGTCGGAGTGCTCGGCGGTTCGCGAGGGAGCTCAAGCATGTGAGGCACCTCACGACCTCGTCTGGTGACGTCGCTGTGTCGGTGGGGTCGGCCGTGGCCGTGCCCTCGGAACTATATGCCGTGGTGATAGGTGGGGCTGATGACGGGGATGGGTGGGGTGAGGCAGGCCGGAGTGATGCACTTAAATCCGCGTCAGAGGCGCACGGTCTGAGGATCAGATCGGTCTCCATCAGAGAAGGGTGAAAGGGTTCCTGCAGGATGGGGGCTGCAAGAGGGAGGTCCATGAGGGGGGCTTCGAGGGCGTGTACCACTGGGGTCTGGGGGGTGGGAGTAGAGAGGGGTATGCCAGTGTTCTGTATTGCCAGCAAGTCAGATACGGCTGCCCCCAAGCCCGATGAGGGCTCCAACGCCTCCCGGTCTGTAAGGGAGGGAGGGTGACCTGGTCCATGTGGCTGGGTTGCATGTGGTTGTTGCACCGGCCTTAGCTCACCCTCCAGTTGTCTCAGCTGAGCTGTTGGGAGCGGGGTGGGGTTGCACGCTGTGGTGAGAAGGGGGGTATGAGAGATAAGTGCAGCCTCATCCTCACCCGTCATTGTGTCAACCCCAACACCAACTACCTCCATCCTAGTGGGCAGGGCGACATCTTGAGCGGCAACCAGATGCTAGTGGGGAAGGATTGCACCGGTGGAACCTCCACCGTGTGCCTGCAAAGGCGAGGGTTCATGAGGGGGGGGAAGGATGGGTGATGAGCCCATGTGAGGGTCGCCTAGAGCAGGTTGGGCAGAGGGGGCGGGGAGTAGAGCTGCAGGTGGGGCAGAAAACGGAGGTGGGGGTGTGGAACTTAAGCCCTCCCCGCCCCTGGCTCTCCCCCTCCGTCGTCGACCTGCGTTGGCTTGGGGAGTTATGGCTGGTTGTTGTGGGAGGGGGGTCGGAGTGGGGCCTGGAAGGAGGAGAAGCGGGGGAATGTTGGCACGGCGTGGCGGCTCGACATGAGACCTCCATCCACCCGTGGGACCTCCCAAGGTGGCGGGAGCCGGTGGCCTGGTAGATGCCAAACGTAGCTGGTTGTGGGATGGTGGGTGGGCCTGCGCGGGAGCAAGCGGGGGTCGATGGGCTGGTTGAGGGCGGTGGTGACCATGGGGTGCATGGGGTTGCGAGGGTGGTGATGATAATAATGGTGGGGAATGGTAGGGGAGGGGCGAGTTCCTAGCAGTGGGATGAGGTGCCGGTATCCGGCGCTGTGGAATTGTGTAGCGTACGGGGCGGAGGGGAGTCGGTGCGGGGGTTGATGCGGCTAAACCAAGCGCCTCGGGCATATGCACATCTGCTGGTGAGGGCGGACCTGGTGGAAGGAGAGGTAGTGGTGGCTGGGAGTTGAAAGTTGGGGAGCAGGGCTCCTCTAGGAAAGCCCGGGCCTTGGCTGCCCCACTTAATTCGCGAGAATGCTTGTGAGGGTGGGGGCAAAGGGTGGGTGCTCCCGGGGGGAGTGGGTTAAAAGATGCGGGGTGTGGATGAGTGCACTCTCCGGATTCCCTGACCTCGTTGTTTCCTCCTGCCCCTCTATTAAAGCTCCTGCCTGCATGGGGGTGGGCATGGGGAGGGCAGGGAGGACCTCCTCATGGGGCTGTGGTGGGACTCCAGCGTCCCCATCGCTGCCAGCCTCTCCTGCGGCCCGCGCCACTCCGTCTGCGGTCTCTGCCGCCCCTGCAGCGGACTCCTCTGCCCCAGTTGTGGCCTCTACCGCCCCTGCTGGCCGTGCGAAAGCCCTGTCCCTAACTTCAGCCGCAACCCCGTCTGGTGCAGCGGTCGCCGCCCCATCTGCCACCTCTGCGACCACTGCTGCCCTTTCTCCAGCAGCCGCTGTTCCTTCTCCGTCAGCTCTTGATACCGCCCCCACGCTGGCAGCCGTCGCTGTACCTTTGCTCTGTAGCTGCACTTGCCCGCCGCTATGCGGCAGCTGCTGCCCTCCATCTTGCAGCTCTTGTTGCCCCCTTGCCAGCAGCCCATGCTGCCCTCCAACCTGCAGCCCTTGCTGGCCTCTTACAAGCCACCTCTGCTGCCCTCCTCTCCCCCCTCTCTTTCGGCGCCTCCGCTCTTGCCGTTGAGCCAACCGAGGCCCTATAAGTGAAGTGTCGGCGTCTACGGGAGGTAAGACAAGACTTCCGACGCTTTGCTGTATGGTCGGTTCCGCGAGGTCACGGCTACGGTGGACGTGCTGCAGCTGCAAGCGCCTACGGTGGGCCTCCCATAGTGCCCTCGCTTCCTCGGGTGCCTCGTTCGGCAACTTCCTCATCGCGTTCGTCTGTCCCTCCTCGTTGATTGGGGTCACCCCCCCGCCATTGTCGGCTTATTGGCCGGGGCTGCTGCTCCAACTAGCCTGGTTGCTGTGAGGGTCCTGAATCAGCTGTACAGTCTCCGCATTGTTGGGTTCATGGCATGGCCTCTTGGCTGGTTTGCCGAAGAGGCATAGAGCATCTTCCTTGTGCATGCGACGGATGTATGGATCTTGGGTGAGTTTCCTGATGCTATGGGCGGTTTACACTTCTACTAGCCAGTTTCTTGTTGCTACTCGCTGCCTGCACTGCTTTGGGCGAGCTTCCTACTGCTACGGGCGGTTCACGCTCTTACTAGCGAGTTTCTCGCTGATACTCGGGGCTTGCGCTGATATGGGCCGACATCGCGCTAAATGCCAACGGATTTCCAGCTACTACGAACGAGTCTTGCTGCTGCTGACGGATTTCAAGCTGCCAGCTTAAAGGTTTGTGCACCCAAAAGTGTGCACCTTAGCTTTTCTTGCGAAAAAGCTGTGGGAAAACAAATGGAGCTGCGGAAAAGCTCTGAGAGCCAAAGTTGCGTGAATGTCACCACTCTGCCGCAACCGCAAAGCTACCACAGTGTCGCTTCCGCCCCTTCGTGTCTTCGTACATTCGCACCCAATTGGTGATAGTGGTAAACAACGGTACAGTACGTTTCTTACAGGGTTGAAGGCCTAAACCAGCCCACGAAATGTTACCCGTCCTTGCGAAATTTAGGAAACCTAAATCTTCAACAACCAATCCAGAAGCAGCGAGAGTGTTTCATGCAGACGAAATAGAAATTTCACAGAGTGTCGCCAAACTCATCGCTCGTTGAGTTCTAACCAATCGAGAGAGAAAGAAAAGATGTCCACCAATAACAATGGTTTCCTTATCTCCACGTCAACTCCCCACAGCTTCTCGAATGTTCTCTCAACCATTTCTTCACAACCATTTATTCTCTGCTATTCTCTGTATCGTGGCTCAAACTCACCAGGCACTTGTTCATTCTCATATCTCGTCGCTATCTCCCGTCTCCATATCTTTTCCTCTTTTTTTGGTCTATAGGAATGTCGCTTTAGTGTGTTCATGTTATTATGCTGTGCATTCTGTTGGCCTACCTTACCTAACCTTATATTGCTTGTCAGAATGTTATTATTGTCTAGCCTGCAGTGGGGTACTCTATAGCGAGTACAACCCAATTAGGGTTTCCTATATATGCCAACTGCTGCTAGTGCAAACCATCCTTTCTTCATTCTTGTTTCTGACTGCTAGTTTTGACATGCTATCAGAGCAGGTCGACCCTCCTGGGTCGATCCTGTGGGTGGGCCCCACCCGATGCTTCCGCTGCTCTACTACTGTCGCGCGCCCCGGGCGCGCGACCCTTTCTTCCTCCCGCGCACTCGGAGCGCGCGGCGTTTTTCATCCCGCCGTGCGCTCGGGGCGTGCGGCGGTTTTCTGCCCGCCGTGCGCCCCGAGGCGCGCGGCGGTTTCCTGCTTCGCGCGGCGGTTTTCTGCCCGTCATGGCACCCCCGGGGACCTGCGCGCTGCCCCCTGTCACCCGTCGCGGCACCCTGGGGGCCCGCGCGTCGCCCTCCTCCCGTCGCCTCGTCGCGGCGCCCTGGGGGCCCGCGCGCTGGCCCCTCCCGTCGCCTCGTCGCGGCGCCTTGGGGGCCCTCGCGTCCCCCCCTCCCGTCACCTCGTCGCGGCACCTTGGGGGCCCGCGCGTCGCCCCCTCCCATCGCCTCGTCGCGGCGCCTTGGGGGCCCGCGCGCCGCCCCCTCCTGTCGCCTCGTCGCGGCGCCTTGGGGGCCCGCGCGCGGCCTTTCTCGTCGCCCGTCGAGCCGCCTTCGGGGGCCCGTGCGCGGCCCCCCTCCCGTCACCCGCCGTGGCGCCCTCGGGGGCCCGCGCCCTGCTCCTTCGTGGCGCCCTGGAGACCCCCCCGCCGCCTCCCTTTCCCTCCGTGAACCGCCCCTGCTGCTTCCCGCGCTCCTGCTTGCGTTAGGGTTTGGGGGTGGCGGGCATGGGGGTGACCGGTGTGGGTAACCTGCAGCTCCTCCTCCTCCTCCGTCTCCCACTGCTGCAGCTGCCGCTGAGGGGGGTGGGTGTGTGGGAGCCGAGGGTTTAGGGTTTAAGGGGGGTGCCGTGGGAGTGGAGCTAGGGTTTCAGCAGGGGGTGTGTGAGAGGGGCGTGGGACGGTTGGGGGAGGTTGCGTGGAGGCTGCCGTCGTGTCGCCTGCAGCGCCAGTAGTCCGGAGCCGTCGTGCTCTCGGTAGCCCAGAGAGCCTGCTGTGCCTGTCGCTCGTGGGTCCGTTGCTCTTGCCGCTCCTCGTAGCCGCCGAGCCAGTTAGTCCAGTAGTCCGGGGCGCTGTCCCGATAGCCACTGTGTGCGCGCTCCTGTTGCCCGTGTGTCTGCAGCTTCAGCCGTCGTCTCCAATCTTCTCTCCCCTCACAGTCCCTCCTCCTCCTCACTTGCCCTCTGTGATTACCTCTAGCTTTGCTTATAATTGTGAACTATTGCTATGCCTGCTCATTGTGCTGATTACACCCCACTTTGGCTATGGGGGTGTGTCAGAATGTTATTATTGTCTAGCCTGTAGTGGGGTACTCTATAGCGAGTACAACCCAATTAGGGTTTCCTTTATGTATGCCAACTGCTGCTAGTGCAAACCATCCTTTCTTCATTCTTGTTTCTGACTGCTAGTTTTGACATTGCTCCCTTATTTTGTGCCGTCGTTATGTTGGCTGCAGTTGCAGTTCGGCTCTTACTGTCGATCAGGAAGACCCGGGCTACTACCGTGCTGCGGATGGCGCCCGTCGTTTTACACTTTCCAGTAAGTCGTAGTATTGTCGCTATCTCTCTTTGATTCCGCGCTGCCAATTTCGTATGCCATTTCTAACCCAGCAGGACGCATATTTAGAACTAGTTGAGCGCATACTGGTGTTTCTCGAGCGCACTATGTGTGCGTTTCCTCTTGATCGTTCTTTGTCAGCCTCGTGTGCAGATTCGCTATTATGACTTGTGTCATGCACTACTTATCGGAATGACTAGAGTATATATTCTCGTGTCTTCTCGTCATGCTGCGTAATCTAATAGCCATTAAACGGAGACATGTACCATGGCTAACAGGTGAGTGGCCGATCTTTCAAAGGTTGCCACTTTTTCAACTTCTGAACGCTGTGATTTCTTTGAATACTAATTTTTTGTTGTCTGGTTAATGTCTCTTGGGCTACATCCGTTTTTGAGACACCACCGAAAGGTTTCTTACTACGATGTCATTGTTGAGATTTGTTCCTGGTGTCTCTACTTTAGGAGTGCAGCGCATATTCAATTGGCAGCTTCGCTTGCTTTTGTTGCGACATCAAATTTTGTATTTTTAGCAGGGAACTTTTGTTGTTGTTTGGATTTTATGTAACTAGAATATAGATTATTAAGTTATGATATTCGCTTTGTAAACTATTTCTGATGTCTATCCCGGTATTCAGAAATTGGATTTTGTCAGCCAATAAGCTTCGTTACCCACACACGTAACAGGAGGTTCCGATTGGCCCACATCGCATGTTTGAGTGAACGAACGAGAACTGCACTGTCGAAGCAAGAGTACAATGAGCAAAGGCATGAGCGAATAATATATAGCGAAATTACAGTGGTAACGGTAATGTGTGGAAAATGAGGTGCGCGACGGGCCTAGCGCCGAGGTTGGGGAATGTCGAGGCGGAGGTCCGGAGCGCGGATTACCAACCGAACCGTGAGGTTGGGTCGCGTCGTGAACACTGGCGGGAACAGTGTCGAGGCGAGTTTCGCGAGTGGTAACGGATTTCTGTTGGGTGCTGTTGGCGAGAACAGTGGTGTACGCGCTGAGCAGGGACGCGAAGTAAGGAAAATGAATTTTCCTTACACTGCCCCCCCCCCCCCCCCCCCCCCCTTCTAAGGAGGCCCTCCTTACGAAAGCGCGTGCACATCTCGGAAATTTCGGCTGCGCCGGTACTCTGTGAGGACGGGGTGGTTCTCAATTCTGTCCAAGGGAACCCAATTGTCCTCAGTGGGCGTTCGATCTTTCCAGCGGATCAAAAATTCGATCCGACGAGCTCCCCATGGGTCACGCACTCGGTGGCTCAGAATCTTCTCTGGCGTGATGATTGGTTCCGTCGGCGGTCGTGTCATGCTGGCTGGGCGGATGCGGGGCAGTTGGCTGGTGGATGGTACGTAAGGGCGAAGAAGGCTGACGTGGAATGACGGGCTGACGTACCAGTCAGCAGGGAGGAGGAGGTGGGCGGTGACGGGTGTGATCATGTGGCTAATGCGAAATGGCCCGCAATATCGGGGGCGGAGTTTTGGGGTAATGGGCAGGCGGAGGTTCTGGGTGTCGAGTAAAACTAGGTCGTCGGGCTGGTAGGTGACAGGTCGGCGGTGGCGGTCGGCGTTGCGTTTAGCGATGATGTTTGATTTTTTAATTGCGTCTGCTGCACGGGTTCGTGCTGCTTGTAAAATTTTGGCGAACAGTTGCGCGCGTGGCATCAGATTGTCGGGATTTGGGGTCATGGGTACTATGGGGTCTTGTCTGTAGTTTAGATAAAATGGTGACTGTTGTGTGGTGGCGGATGGCGAGTTGTTGTATGCGAATTCGATGAGTGGCAGCTGCTGTTCCCAAATGGTTGGGTCGTCGCACGTGGCTCGAATGAGTTGCTCCATGGTCTGGTTTGTCCGTTCTGTCTGTCCGTCAGTCTCGGGGTGGTACGAAGAACTAAACTGTAGTCGTGTGCCGAACTGCTGCCACAGGTTCCGCCAGAAGTTGCTGGTGATTTTCGTGTCGCGGTCGCTCATGATTGCTGCTGGTATCCCGTGCAGTCGAATGACGGTGGAGATGAAGAGGCGGGCTGTTTCTTCGGCTGTGATCGATTTCTTGCAAGCTGCGAAGTGTGCCATTTTCGTCAACCGATCGACGACGATCAGGATTGCGTCGTTCCCACTTGCTCCGGCCGGTAACCCCGTGATGAAG